TCTTCATTACCCATTCAAGCCGTCTCCAACCATTATTAGTCTCAAAGTGGGTTCCTCGTCATCGAATAGTACATAAATTGCTATTCAGCATTCAGGTTATCATATGTAATCATAGTGTTCTATTTACTGTAAAAACTGCTGACGATAGAATGTGTGTACTCTCAAACCTTCATTAAACATATTGTTATTCATCATTTCTGCAGCTGTAGTGTTCATCATTAGACTATCTTTTCCGTCTCATGAATCTGTTGAAGTGATATTATGACTGGACAGATATGATGTCATTCAGGATGCATGCACCCATGGTAGGTTCTAATCTGGAGGTCAACCAGAAGTGACGTCATGGCAATGCTGTCAAAGCAAATATGATGTCACCTAAATGGTCGTGATCACTGGAGACCACCAGAAAGTTCACTACCAATTTTTTCTCAGAAACTTAGAAATCAGTTTCTATGGAAAATCGTTTGCTATTTGGCTTATCTTCTTAACGAGCCATTTAACCACATTAACTTGCAAGATAACTTGCTGATCTAACAGACACTATTCAAAAACCACCAACTACGTGGAAAAGTTTCTGGCAAACATCATAACCTAGAGAAGGTTTTATTTTATTTTGCCTGTCGTCCCAGACAGATTTGAAGGCAATTTTTGGAAAGTAAAACCCGAACATTATGATATAAATGATGTCATTATAATGACTCTGACTTCAGAACTGTTTTTTGGGTGTATAATGTTTTGCTTCGGACTGATGAACTGGCATTGATCATCCATTATACTTATGCCAACCAGGTGGGTTTTCATTGATGATATATAGGTCAAAATTTCTCTTAGCTTATCACTAGATTATCACTTGAATTTAGGTAGACTTACACACCAAAATGTGGTACAATATATTCATGGGTCATAACTTATGCAGGTACCCAGGATTTCCAGAATGAACTATTGATTGATTTCGTTTTGGTTTTGTGACTAATCAACTTTAGAGATTGAGTAATATTTATACATTTATTTTCATATGTGTTTTGGATTAACCATGGCAGATTATTATTCTATTACACCCCTCGTGGCTTACAGCAATGTCTGTGGTATTAGTCTGATAGCTTGGGTTTCTGTGTAACTGTGGTACTAAGTCATGTTAACTTACCGGAGGGTCTGGTATTCAGCTAAATCTGCATTCATTCATACTTCACTTTCTCTGTCTTCACCGACCCCGATAGCATCAGTCAGTGAATCAGTGTGAGTTGGTATCCTGTCAAATGCTTTAAGAAAGATTGTACTCGCTTCCAAATAGTTAATAACACTAGTAGCCATCAACTGGTATATATAACTCACTATTAACACAGTCTCAAGAATAGTGTCCTTCTACGGTTGCAGCTTAACTGGGTCATTATTATATCCTTTATTAACAGATGCTCTAGCAACTTGCAGAATTTATATTTGAAACTTTGTTCTTGTTGCTTCCTAAGACTGTCTACTAAGCTCTTTTTTTCCTACGAGAAGCAGACTATATGAAGCAAGATCTTTATGCTAGAAATAAGTTGTCTTCTCCATTAATTTTAGTGCATTTTCTGCAGCTTAGAATTGTTTGACACTAGACAGTGTTAGGAATTTTCACAAGTCACTACATTTGGACATATTTTTTCTGTAAAAACAGCTTCTTTGCTAGACACTGCCATTTATATTTTCATGTAATTAGTTCTGTGAGCCTCATATAGGCCTTCCCTTCAGCTAGATTTTTCTTTCTGACCTCCAGGAGGAACTACTTTCTCCTTGACTCCATAGCTGAGCCATTAGGGTGAGTCTTGCTACTTTCTAAACTACCCAGAGTGACTTTTGAGCTATTGCTAAATAGAAATTCTAGTGACTCTTCAGTCAACTATGAGAATGATATATATAAGGCTTCAACAGCTTCTCCAGCATATCATACTTGGACTTAGACCACAAATTTCCTTTATCATAGTGTTAAAAAATTAATGACCTTTCAGTCTACCTAGATGTCAACTGCTGGAGTTTATCATAAGTTCCTATCATTACTGATCATCTACAATCATTTTCCTGTGATATATTATCTGATATTGTAACTGTAGGATATTTTAACTTAGTAATACATATACACTAAAACAAAACACGTTATGCGATTTTGAAGCGACCCCTAATATAGGAACATCCTTTTTATGACGATTATGTCTGAACTACAATAAGTCTTAGGTATCAACTCTTCCAAACTTGCATCGATTGGCCATGACCTTTTGGCCCAATACCACTTCATACTTTGTGGCAAGAGAAGAACATCATGCAAGTGAGTTCGACAATATTATATACGGTTTTTCTAATGCACCTAAACCTGGTTGTTATGTTCGACCCACAGTTGCCAACATTAGAATGGCTAATCACGAAATAGTAGGGTTGTTGCTGTTTTCCTTGATAATTAATTAACCGAAACAGACAGTTTTGAATATTTTACATATAAATTAAAAGTTAAAATGTAGCTAACCTCTGCAGTGTTCAGGTTTTATACAAACACTTCTATAAATTCATTCTAACTAGAAGCAGAAGTTCAGCTCTGTGAGGCCAACAGTGTCGGTTGTAGTTTGTTTTGTTTGGTTTGTTTTGAAATTCGCGCAAAGCTACACGAGATCTATCTGCGCTAGCCGTCCCTAATTTAGCAGTGTAAGGCTATGGGGAAGGCAGCTAGTCATCATCACTCACCGCCAACTGTGTGTCGGTTGTGACACGTCATTCAACAAATACACTTGCTACCCCAACTTATTCGTGCTAGTTGACTGCCAGTGAACGACATGGCCTTCACTACATCATAGAAGTTACGGTTTTTATATAATGTGTATATGGAAAAAAAAGCATAATTTTTTTTAACAAAGTTGACTCATTTCGTGCTTAATAGTAGATCGTGTACTCCAACAAACTTTTGTTTGTTTTCGGATATTCGCGTAAATCTACTCAAGGGCTATCTATACTTGCCATCCCCATTTTGAGCTGATAGACAAGAAAGAAGGCAGCTAATTAGTATCACCCACCGCCAACTCTTGGCTGTCTATTATAACGTACCCACGGACCAAAGTACGGAATGTATTTGGAGACCCAAACAAAGGATACTCAGGTCTACAGTCCGTCACGTTAACCACTGGATTAGTTCATCCTTCAAATAAATGGAGTATTTTGGGATCTAACTTAATTCCTCAATTCTTCCTACTTTCTTTTTGTGTAAACATAAAAGAAAAGAGATTACAGCAGTATCCTAGAAACTCCTAACCTCTAGTGTAAAATAGACAAATTGATAAAACTTCATATTATTGAAGGAACGATGTTATATTAATACTTTTTTCTTGTACATGTAAAGAATGATCATTCAAACATGAATTTAAGTTTAAACGTGTAAACGAGGCTACAATGGATTAACTACACCACATTTTTTCATGAATCGCGACCCCAAGGAGAATTTCAGAGGTTTTCCGAGGGGTTGGGTTCATAACGATGTAAAATTGAAATAATTTTCCATTTTTACAACAAGCAAAAACCTGTTTACATCACGTTGACATTAAGTTGCGATCATTGTTTCAACATTTTAGTATCTGTTCTAAAAAATTCTATATAATAAAGATGAGGAAGTGTTCGCGAGTCTTCATTTTCGATCTTAAAAACAAACAAATATTATGACAATTATTATTAACTAATTGATTCCTTAACATGGAGTGGTCAGGCCGTTGCTACATTGCCATTCCTAGAGGAGGTTCTGAAAGCATGTCCCCACAGAAAATCTTTGAAAATTTAATGCTATAAGATTTAATTTTGGGTTATTTTAACTACAAATACAGCATACACACACACACACACACAACTTAATGTATTGAATTAAAAGAAGCAAGAATACATAAGTTGTAGCTATAAACGCCATGAAAAAGTGGTCAGGTCATGGCCTGACTGTCCTTATCACTTTCTGTTTAATATTTTCAGCTTTTGATACATCTGATTTTCTTTGTGCCGACTCTTGGACAATAACTGAAGCAGTTAAAGTAATTGAATTAATGAAGTAGGCTTAAGATTGGTGACGTTCTATAGCCAAAAGATGAACCATTGATTATGTACACCACTATAGTCAACATAACAGATGGTCAGGCCTAACGTCTTTTGCAGCCTTTCTATCATAAATTTGAAACAGGATAGATTTTTTTAATTATTTCGTTTATTAAATGCACATCACTACATATTCATTAGTAGAAGATTTTATTGTATCCATAGTATTTACAGATTTTAGATTCTTACATTTTATTTTCAAATATTATTTACGTATATTGTTGTTTTCAAAGTAGTGTAGTCCTTTTCCTTAGTATTATACTAAAATTTTTCTTCTGGGAATAATTTACCCTTTTTTAATTACAAAGCATATATTATTAGTACGACTACTTCAAATTCGATATTTCTGAAAGAAAATGACCCAGTTGAAATTTCTAGTTCAGCAGTTGATTCCACGCTCTCTCCCTAGTAGAATAAGTCAATGTTTTCGGAAGTGTCCGTCTTCAATTCTAATATCAGCACAGCTCCGGAAAACTTCTTGTGGTCCACAACCAAGAGCTCCTGTTCCATCCTTACAAACTCCCCAAGAATTTCCTGTGGAAATACTAACATTGCTATAATTCTAGGGTCTAGTGACAGTTTAGTAAGCGAAGCAGTATCTTCTGAGTACTTGTTGTACTATTAACGATTCCAAAACTTTCTAAATTAGATATTTATAGTCACATTAACTCATAACCAACAAGAAAAGAAATAACTCATAACTTAATATAACACCGTATAATAACAAGTCGAGATCAGAGGAATACATACGTCAAAGTTAACTAGAGTATACACAATACAGAATTATAAATATTGAACAATAACTGGGTTTCGATTTTTTGGAAATGTCCACGTCATTCAATCCTTTTCATTATCTAAATCATCGAGACTAAAAAGGAAACCAATCATTTCGCTTGCAGAATGCCAGTTTCAAGCACAGTAAGCTTGTGGAATAAACAGTTGTCATACCAAAATCCTACTTCATATAATCAGTAATTGCTATATCAACTTACAAACAGAGAAGCGAAAAGTTTTCATACAGCCATTCTGATTTGCAGGAAGTAAACAGATGCCACACTAAAATTTAAGTTCTAAAGGAACAAACATTTACCATATTTCCATACTACTTCAAAGGGAATAGGCAGATACAACATGGCCATACTGTCCAACGGAGATAAGCATTTAACGTACGGAATGAGCTGTATGTCAGTTGGACATGTTTTCTTGAAATGACAGAAAATGCCTTATAAAAGTAATGTGTCCCTGGGTAAGAAATTGTTATCATATCAAAATAGTGCTTTAGGAAGGGCAGGTAAATACCACATCAAAGTAGTGTCTCCCAGGGAAAAAATACTGTTACCATATCAAAATAGCGCTTTAGGATAGGGACAGGTAAATACCACATCAAAGTAATGTCTCTCAGAGTAATAAACTGTCATCATATCAAAACAGTGCTTTGGGAAGGACAGACAAATACCACATTCAAGTAATGTCTCCGAGGGAAATAAACTGTCATCATATCAAAACAGTGCTTTAGGAAAGACAGATAAATACCACACTGAAGTAATGTCTTTCAGGGTAATAAACTGTCATCATATCAAAACAGTGCTTTAGGAAGGACAGACAAATACCACATTGAAGTAATGTCTCCGAGGGAAATAAACTGTTATCATACAAAATAGTGCTTTGGGAAGGACAGATAAATACCACACTGAAGCAATGTCTCCGAGGGAAATAAGCTGTTATCATACAAAATAGTGTTTTGGGAAGGACAGACAAATACCACACTGAAGCAATGTCTCCGAGGGAATAAACTGTTATCATACAAAATAGTGCTTTAGGATAGGGGCAAGTAAATACCATATGAAAGTAATGTATATAGGATGTTTCACATTAACCTAAGTGTTAATTTCATTAGTGGGGCTTAGTAATAGAGATCATCTCCTGTTTTATTGGATGGTTTAATTGTTGTAGAACCGCTCTACAGTACAGTAACACAGAGCAGAGGTATTTCCAGAAATTTGTTATCCAATTTTTTGATTCATAAGCTTCAGAGAGCGTGTGAAATGTGAGAACAGTTTGATGCTTTTAGTCTAACACGTTTACGTCTTGGAAAAATCAAGAGTAAAAAACAACAACAAATAACGACCAAAATAGTGTGTTAAGGAGACCGGACACTTGTGACGTCAATATACTGCTTTATGGTGTATAGTCTGAAAGGAGGTGAATCACTTGTAACATCAATATACTGCTATACAAAGACAAGCAACTAGCAAACCAAAATAATAAATAAAGGGACCAGCAGCTGCAATTATGGAAGCTTGATATAAAGGTGAGAAATGGTCTGTTAAAATAATTATGGAAGCTTGATATAAAGGTGAGAAATGGTCTGTTACAATAATTATGGAAGCTTGATATAAAGGTGAGAAATGGTCTGTTAAAATAATTATGGAAGCTTGATATAAAGGTGAGAAATGGTCTGTTAAAATAATTATGGAAGCTTGATATAAAGATGAGAAATGGTCTATTAAAATAATTATGGAAGCTTGATATAAAGATGAGAAATGGTCTGTTAAAATAATTATGGAAGCTTGATACAAAGGTGAAAAATGGTTTGTTAAGATAATTATGGAAGCTTGATATAAAGGTGAGAAATGGTCTGTTAAAATAATAATGGAGGCTTGATATAAAGGTGAGAAATGGTCTGTTAAAATAATTATGGGAGCTTGATATAAAGGTGAGAAATGGTCTGTTAAAATAATTATGGAAGCTTGACATAAAGATGAGAAATGGTCTGTTAAAATAATTATGGAAGCTTGATATAAAGGCGAG